AATATTATAACATGGAATAGTATATCGTGTGCACCTTTAATTCATAATTTCTAGAGTACAGTACATTTATTTTAATAGGTTAGGTTAGGTTAAATAATAGTGAAAACTAGTAACAGAAAATATTACTTACGCCATATTTGGTGGACATATAACTTTTCTTTTGCCTCCTACTTTCATACCAGCAATACCAATATCCCAACCTTTAATAACTTCACCACGTTGTAATCCAAATGTAAATCCAGGCCCTTTCTGCATGGAATCAAAAACTTTACCAGTGGATTTCAGACGACCAATATAATAAACTTTAACCTAATTATTTATAAAAAAAATTGTTTAAGTATAAAATCCCAATAATAAAAATGATTCAATACGAACATTTTTCCCTGGTTTTGCTACAGCACCATCACCTATTTTGAGATCATTAATGATAACCCCGCCATTTAACTTTTGTTGTTGATTTTGCTTATCTTTGGGCAATGGAGTATCTGGTTTAGTCTTTAATTCACTGAGTGGGGTCTTCGGTTCCTTGTTTTTCTTTTTTTTACTACTTTCCGTTGAACCCTTTGAATATAAAAATAAATAAAAATAAGATACAGTTATCATAAAGTAAAATCATTGTAAATTTACATTTAACAAAGATTGATTAGCATCAGGCGTTTTAGGCATTGGAGTCTTTTGACCTTTAGGAGTTTTTTCTTGACCTTTAGGTGTCTTTACTTGACCTTTAGGGGTTTTCAGTTCTTTTTTAGGAGACTTTTGTTCATTTCCGTTCAATTGTTTATTTGGAGTTTTTTGTTGTTGTTTTGTGTTTTTAGTCAATACTGGTGTATCTTCAATATCATCACTATCTTCTTCTTCTTCATCATCGTCATCGTCATCATCATCATCATCGTCGTCGTCGTCGTCATCTTCATCTTCATCATCATCATCATCAGCCAAATCACTTACTGTACACAATCAAGACATTCATTTAAAAATTAAAAATTTTAATTAAACTTAAAAATTTAAATGCTAATAAAATACCACAAAAATTTGTGAAAAAACATAAGAGACAGATAATACTATTTTAAAATTTATTGTAGATGGAAAATATAGGGGGGAACTAGCTGATACCTGTGCCCGTTAAAAATACCGACTCAATATGTGTGTTTAATTTGTCGTTTAATAAATGGTGTAGTTAATAATAATGTACACAAAACTTCACATGAATTTATCTTATCTTTATCTCCAATAAAGAGATTAACAAAGTCATATACAGGACGAAAATTACTGCATTCAATCATAATAATATCTTGCATTCTTAGCTCGTCATTTATATGTACCTTAATATATATATATACAGTAGAACCTCTCTAATCCGTCACTTTCGGGACTGTGGGTGTGGTCGGAACGCGAAAAAGGTTGGATTATCAGAATATACAGAACATTTTTATATACATATTACATACAAGATTATATTAGAAATTTATTATATTTTACAATACTTAGAAAAAAAGCCAGTTATAGATTTTTCTTTAGCAAATGATATTCTAGACTTAGCTAAGACTAATAAGGGAAATATTAAACTAGCAATTAATTTTATATATGTACTATAAATTAGAAAATCCAAACTGTACTTTTTAAATTACATACATAATATTCATATCAATAATACTATGGTCGGATCAACCGGAGCGGCGGACTAGCCGAGGGCGTACGAGAGGGGTTCTACTGTATTGGGATATCCATAGTATATGATAAAAGGACATGATTGTCCAAAAGTCCAATATCCACACGCATAATTACATACATATTATGTATTTAGCATGAAAAGCAAAAAATTATKTAAAATAAGAATAAATAGGTAGGTACAACATTGTGGAATACACACAATAGTCAATGCATAGAAATATAGAAATAGCTAAATTATCCAGCTTCACATGTGAGTATTTAAGGTATTTTCATATTCACAATTGTATATAATARGAGTATTGGCATACGCGTGATGCATGAGATTATTTTTATTCATAAACTCGCCGGAACAATTCTTATCCAAATTAATGACAAAAGGATAGGTGCAGGTATATGGAAATTCGAGGGCCGCTGTACAGCATAATACTTATTGTTGGCGAATAATTATAATTGTTAATTACTCCACTGAAACTCACAACATTTTTGAAAATCCTATCTTATTGCATGTTGAAAATATAAGAAGAACCTCTATTCAAAATTTCAAATTTGCATGTTGTGTAGTTTTTGAGTAACAGCAATCAGTGACCTAAGTGCTATTTGGATTTTGGATCTTTTATGCTATGGTAAAATTAAAGTAGATAACTAAATAAAAACTTACATTTTAATCCTTCATCATCATCACTATCATCTTCAAAATCCAKGGTTTCATCATCATCGTCACTTTCTTCATCAGACTGATTAGTCTCATCCAATTTAATAGATTTATTTTTTTTTGAACCATTATCTTCAGATTTTCTTTTATTACCTTTAAATCATTACAAATATCA